CGCCTCTATTCAAGCCTTGAAATTGACGTAGCGCGAGAATTCTGGTCTTCTAGCGACAGACTCGCCGTTTTCGCCCCTAACACTATGATATACTTTGTAGATGAATTTTAATTTTTTTTATCTATAAAATACTGTCAATTTTACTGATGGTCATTGAAGTTGTATGTTTGTACATATATGTAACGATAAATTTACAATGGGTTATCTGAATTGTACAAATATTTAAAATGGGTTGCGATAGTGGGAAAATGGGATAGATGTATTATCTGTTATAGACGGAGAATTGGGTTTAATCGTAGAAAATCAATAATAAATTTTGACCAAAAATATTTTTTAATTTGACAAGTGCGTCGTAATGGAAAAAAAATAAATAAATCTATTATAAAAATTGTGATTAATAACACTAATTCCCGTCAAGCGATCATGAAACGTGAGTAATTTTTATTATCGATTCCGATTTTAACACACACATTACAAACGTAAAAAAACATTACTGCAGTTTCATCTTATTTTTAGAAATATAGAAATTTCTTTGAATAGATTAAGGCTTTTTTTTATTAAAATTCTTCTTTTAATGTGAAATAATTTTAATTGTTGATAAAAATTATCTAAAAGTAACCAATTAAAATAAAATGTTTACAATTTTCTAGCCAGACAAATTCCGACGCGGAATTTGTAGGAATTGCAAATTATGATTAGCTTTTAAAAAAATCAACTTTAACGTTAAAAGGGTATATGATCGGAATTTAAGCACATCTGATATAGTACAAATGTAAATATGCGCGTAAGGATGTACTACAAATCGACTTTTTTAAGCTGGCAAACAATGACAATAAAAAAACCCGGTATAATATCGGTATTTCAGGAACAATAAGGTGCCGATGCCCGTATTACATTGTACTCTAATATTGCTTATATAATAAACTATGTATGTGAAAAAACATTATAAAGTTGGTAAAAAGATTAGATAAATATTTAAATATTTGAAAATTAAACATGGATTTCATAACTTTCCTAGTGATCGTTGTTATTCTTTTGATAATTTACTATAGTCGGAGCTATAAAGTTCCAGATACTATTAAAGATATTCATGAGGTCACATACTTTAGTTTAATTTTATCTGCATTTACAAAAAGAGGAGGAAATGAAAGACTTTATTTGCGTTTTAAAGAATATTTTGAAAGGGACGGTGTCATAAGGGTAAATTTTATTGGCATATAGATAGTGTTGTTAATGGAATACTCTAGTTTATAGTAAAACATATAACCCACTCCGGAGTACTCCAGAAATGGGTTATATGTTTTATTATAGTCTGGAACACTCCATTAACAACCCTACATATAGATTGTAAAATTAAGATCTTTATTTTTTTTAAAAAAAAAAGCTTATTATTTTTATGTTTATAGATTTATTTTAGAGGAAAATGGATTTGCATGATAACTGATCCAGTGATTGCTAAGGAAATATGTTTACGAACCGGTAGGTCGTTAATTGTTCGTATCTCACGTTAGAATTCTATTTACTGATTTGAGGTATTTTAAATTATTCATAGATGTTTTTCCTAAGTTAATGTTCGACGAGATTGTACCAAATTCTGCGGCTGAACGACATTTTGGTGTTAATGTTGTTCATTCAAATGGTGATGTAAGTATTATTTTCCATTTTATTGTTTTAAATTTTCCTTCTGAAAATTTTTTTTCATTACATTGCTGTTTTTAGGTTTGGAAGCGACACAGGTTTTTTTTTCTCACATCTCTATTTATTGCAAATTTTTATTTTTATTTTTCTGATATAAAATTTTATTTAGACGTGTCTGTAATCCTGCTTTTAAAACTTTACCGGTGCACCTTTTTGTTGAAAAGGGATTAAAAATGATGGATATTTTAGAAAAAGTCGATAATAAGCCTATTGAAGTTAAAGATCTTATGCAAAGGTAATAATAATAATAATAATAATAAACAATAAACAGTTTAACATTCTTTACAATCATTTTATTTTCATTAAAATTATATGATCAAATTTTGTAGACTTACTTTAGACGTTCTTGGAAAAGTTTCCTTTAATTTTGATTTTAATGTAAGAGTAATAAAATAACTGTAAGTTTGTATTAGATAAATTATAATTTTTTTTTACAACAAATTTTAATTTAGAATCTTGAAGACCCGAATAATATTTATGTAAAAACTTATAAAGAAGTTCAGGATGTGTTTAGAAATCCATTTGTTGCTATGCTCCAAATTGACCGCATTCCAATCTTACAAAAATTAGTATTTAGAAAAATTGATAAGTTAAATAATTTATTTGAAGAGATGATTAAAGAAAAACGTAAATCCTTAGCTGCTGGACAATCTAACGGTGACCTTTTAGAACTGATGATAAAGGCTTGTGAAGATCCAGATAATCAAATATTATCGGATACTGAACTCAGAGTAAGAAATTTTTTGATTTTTATTGCTATAGTCTAAATAATAAAATTTTAATTATAATGATTTGATTTTAATAGCACAATTTAGCTATTTTTATGGTTGCGGGTCATGACACCAGTAAGCATTACGTTAATTTGAGAAACAGTTTATAGTTTTTAACCATACAGTACTATATAATGAAATTTTATTTAATAAATTTAGCTGCATTGGCTCTATCGACTCTTTTATATCTTTTAGCAATTCATAAAGTAAGATGTATATTCATTATTTATTATATTTATTAAAACTGTTAAGTATTTATAATCTCTATCTAGAATGTTCAAGAAAAAGCTCGAGAAGAAATCTTAAGAGTACTTGGTGATAATCTAACACCATCACAAGAACAGCATGCGTCATTAAAGTATTTGAATTTGATTATTCGTGAAAATCTTAGATTATATCCTCCGGTTAGTACAACTTTAATATATAAAAAAAGTAATTAAATCACATATAATATTATTTTTGTTGTTTACTAAATAGGCCGGAGGTTTGCCATTACGTGCATTAGCCGAAGATTTAAAGCATAAGAACTTTTTGATTCCAGCTGGCACACCAATTAGCCTCTTTATATATGGGTTACATCATTCACCAAAGCTTTGGAAAAATCCAGAAGAGTTTTTGCCTGAGAGGTTTGAAAATGAACATGAGAATTATTCTTGGTTGGCTTTTGGTGGTGGAACTAGAATGTAGGTTGAATTCTTTGTGTTTTTCTTAATTTCTTTACTTTAGCGAGCGATAATAATTAATTTTATTTTATTTTTTTTTAATAGGTGCTTAGGAACCAACTTTTCTCTTATAGAACAGAGAATAGTATTATGTTTGTTATGTATGTATTTTTAATTTCAATTAAATGAGTTTCATTATGTGAATACTTATATGTATAATATATGTTTTATAGTGCGTAAATATGAAATATTATTGCCACAAAATAGCATACATAAAAACGAATTAAAATTTAAGAATTCAATGACTCTATACCCACTTGATCTCATTTTTAAAAGAAGGAATGAATAATGACCATTTATTTTTTATAATTTTAATCCCATATCTTTGCATAAATTTAATTACTGTTTTTATTTGATTATTACATAAACCATTTATCGTATTTGATTAAACGTATTTGATTAATAAACTATTTAATGTGTCTGATTTAAATTTTTTTTCATCATATGTTTCTTGTTAAAAAGATCTACAGAGTGACAAAAAAAAGCAATTAGACTTTTTTTTTTGCTGCCGCATTAAATAAACTAAATTAATTATAGATGATTTTTAGGTACCCGTTTCTTCAGGATTCATATTAGGATGTGCGAAAAGTGAAAGAAAAAGAATTTTTATCTTTATTTGGTAAATAAAAAAAAAAACAATGCAACAATTGTCCAACTCTACTGTTTGCATTTTGCATTTATTTCGCACGTACGTGCGTACAAGATATAAGAAATATGGTGATAAAGAAATTGATACCTTTTGCTGAATGGCAGAATGGTCCAACTAGAGATTTTGAATCTAAACCTATATTTTTCGGATATGGTAACGAGTTAACACTTATAATGCTTATAATACTTATTTAGTAACTAAACCTTTCATCCAAGTCTGATTTTCTTTAAACTTTCATGAAAGATCATCGCAGGTGCACCGACAAGATCACCGAATAAAGCATAAACACGAAGATCACTTTTTAATGAATTAATACGGTGATTCAATCTGCACTGTAACTAAGTACTTCGTCGATCTTGAATCTAAATATAGCATTGCTTTTAAAACTTTAAAACCATTATTAGGTGCACCTGGGCAAATGACAACTTCCAAGATAACACGTACAGACTGATACTCAAATTTATACTAGCCGATAATACAGTAACAGTAATTCATGCCAAATTGAGTATAGAGGTAGAAAATAAAATTTTACAAGAATCTATTATTAAATTTGATTATATCGATGCACATCGATACAACACGAACAAAACGCAATTTTTATAGGTGCAAAAAATATTAATGATCTCGTGATTCAGTGATTGGATTTTGTCAATTTTGGCTCGTCAGAATAATCTCATTGAGACGAACATTTGGTAGTTTATTCATCTTAAACAGACTAATATATCAATAGTTAAACAAATGTCTATTCTTAATATCAGCCGATATGATATAAGTTTATTATTTCTGTATTTATTTAAAATTACATGCATATGCGTACAGTGTATAGTGTATATTTAGTCACCCGGTATTAATCATCACTATTACAACGTGTCGTTTTAGCATAAGGGTTTGGAATCTAAATAGTTCTCGCCCATCACGGGACGTTTATGTAACTATTTCTGCAGACTTCCTGCAGACTTTTTTGCAGACTTTATCTTGCTTTATCAGCTTTACAAATTTGGATTTTTTAGCAACATTTCACAACATTTATTCTGGCTAAATTTGCGAAACAAAAATTTTTGTTTTCTCAAAGATGAAGACACTACCAAATGAATGTTATTATTTAATATTTAATAACCTCCGGCATAGTTACAAAAACTTATTTTCATGTGCACTTGTAAACCGCAAATGGTGTAGAATTATTATACCACTATTGTGGAGTGAACCATCACATCATTTTAAAGATAAAAGACTTATAAGAATATTTCTTTTAACGTTAAATGCTGAAGAACAAGCTTTATTAATTCCCTTTAAAGTTACCTTTCCAACTCATCCAAAACCACTTTTTGAATATACAAGTTATATCACATCCATTACGGACTATTATCTGCATGATGGAATTATAAAATGGCTTCGTTATGAAAGATATGAGACAGTTTATAAACTTGAAGATGCCATTGAATGTTCTTTGATTAAAATGTTTCTACGAACTGGCAAGAATCTTAAATATTTATGTCTTAGTGAAATTATTTGTAATCAATTGATATTTGAAAATCTTTATGAGAATACTACTATTACTTCTATAGATCTATATAACCTTAGTAGTGATATTAAATTTAAGGCAATAAATGTATTAGTGAAGGTCCTCAATAAGAATTCTACTTTGATTTCTTTGAATCTTAGATCTAATCTACTTGGATTTGAAGGAGTGGAAACATTATCGGATGCTCTTTATAAAAACACTGTCCTAAATTCTTTAAATCTTGGTGGTAATCGAATTGGTGTTGAAGGGATAAAGATGTTGGCAAAATTTCTTTGTAAAAACACCACGCTGACTTATTTGGATCTTGCCTGTAATAAGCTTGGGTCAGAAGGAGGAAAAGCATTAGCAAATGCGCTTTGCATGAACAATATCCTGAAAGATTTAAATCTTGAATCTAATGAACTTCGATCCGAGGGAGGAAAGGCATTAGCAGATGCACTTTGCAAGAACACCACATTGACTTCTTTGAACCTTAGTTGTAACGATCTTGGATCAGAAGGAGGAAAATCATTAGCAGATGCACTTTGCAAGAATACCACACTGACTTTTTTGAACCTTAGTTGTAATAATCTTGGGTTAGAAGGAGGAAAAGCATTAGCAAATGCGCTTAGTAGGAATATCACGCTAGCTTCTTTGAATCTTTGGCTGAATGAACTTGGACCTGGAGGAGGAAAGGCATTAGCAGATGCACTTTGCAAGAATAATACTCTAAATGATTTAAATCTTCAATTTAATAAACTTGGGTCAGAAGTAGGAAAGGTATTAGCGAATACACTTTGCAAGAACACCACGCTAACTTCATTGAATCTTTCTAGTAATAATCTTGGATCAGAAGGTGGAAAAGCATTAGCCGATGCACTTTGCAAGAACACTACGCTAACTTCTTTGAATATTAGACACAACGATCTAGGGTTAGAAGGAGTAAAAGCATTAGAATATTCACTTTTCAAAAACACCGCTCTAATTTTTTTGAAAAGTGAAGAGCTCAGTTATGGTTATAGCCGGCGATTATGAATATGATCAACATTAATCCGTCAAAGATTTTTAACTGACTAATTGAAATCATAACTGATGTCAGATTTTTAATGTATTGAATAAATATTGATACAACAAATTTTGATATGTAGTATTAAAAAAAAAAAAATACTGTAATAAATAAAATAAAACCAGATAATGCTTTTTTTTTCATTATCGATTGTAAAATTATATTGTTAGAATACGATGTACTATACAATTTTAAAGCTACATACGTACGCACTCATTGTGTAATTTCTAACATCCAATGCAAGTGCATATAACGCACAGTAGAGATTCTTTGCATAATACGCAAAATGCAAATTTTCTGTATTTAAATCTTGTAAGCATTATCAGGAACGGAGTGAAACGAAGTGTATTGCCCGCTTATAGATAGAAATGATATACGGTGCGAAATCAAAATCTTACATTTTATTAGTCAGCACGATTATAGTTATAATCATCACAATGCTGCAAGTTTCCACATGCAACAGCATCACAGTAGAATCTAAATTTTCTATCCATGTTTCACTAGGGATGCGCCTCAACTAATAGTGACAAAACTTAATCTGGTTATTTAATGATTTTCATATTGGCAGATTTTTAAGTTACACAAAATTTAAAGTACACCTACTTGGCACTCCGAAGTGAATAACATCGGGAAATTATAAAAAAAAGTTATATAAAATTTATAATTATTTGAACATTTTATTAAATAATTAGGTTGCAAATTCTGTTCCAATAAATAGGTATTTTCTAGAGAATAAATATGATGTTTTCAAGTATAATATATATAGTATATAAATTATATTATAAATTGTTCTAGTTACAAATTATAGTTATTATTATTATAACTTAATATTTACTTATAATTTAATGTTTTAATTATCAGTGATTGCTCAAATTTTTTTCAAGTTTGCTAAAATGCACCGATGGTGTTCAACACCATAGGTCCCTATTCCTCAAAAACGTACTAAGTAAACCGGATCGGGTATTCTAAGTAAAAACGTCCAGGATCCCCAAAAACCTCACCTCACGAGAACTAAAATTGGGACGTTATATCTAATATATATTATAATATATTAAAAAAATTTCATAAAATGCACCCTAACCCTAAATTTTATTAAAAACAATTATATATGGTGCCAAACACCATAGGTGCATTTTATAATAATTGATTTTTTTTTATAGCCATTAAAAATTAAAGCACATTTTATTAAAATTTAGTTTTTTAAATAATATTTACACTGAACAAAATTGAAAAATTCATAATATTAAAGAAGTAGTTAGGTTTTAAAAATGATAGTTTCTAATATATTAACTTTTTTGTTTTTATTAATTGCTCAAAATTTTTCTATAGCCATCAAAGATTAAAGTGTATTTTATTAAAAATTAAAAAATTCATTATATTGACAAAATAATTAGGTTTTAAAAATAATAATTCAATATATTAAATTTGCCAATTTTAAAGTCTAATACTTTATAAATATTGCAAATTTGTTAGTTCTATAAAGTGGAATTAATGTTTAAAGATCCAAATTTCAATAAAATGAACTTCAATTTTCTATTTTTTAATAAAAAAAAATTTATTCATTAGATATAATTACTTTTTTTTATAAAATTTATTTAAAATATATGTTGTGTAACCTAATAATTTGTGTAAATATAAATCATTAAATAACCATATTGCTATTTGATTTTATTAGTTGAGGCGCAACCTTAATATTTTACAGTAAATAAAAATTGAAATATATAATGACAATGGTGTTAATTACTAAAT